GGCGCCTGATGGGCCAGGAAGTGCCCGGTTTGAACCGCCAGGCCGGGGTGGTGGCCGCCGCTGTGGCGCTGGGGAAGGGCGAAGCCGCCTGAGGTTTTCCACCGTTCAGGGAAGGAACTGCTCCACCCCACCCGCCCCCTTCCCCGGTAGCGAGCGGGACCCTTTGCTGGGGCTGCCGCAGGTTGGGGTTTAGTTGCCGACACGGCCTCCTGAGGAACCAGGCTTCGCACGGGGACGGGGGGATCGGTCAGCAGCACCCCTGTGTTTTGGCACTTGACGTCGGACCTCGATCCTGGGGTTGGCTCCAAATGAGCGCCAGGGTTTCCGTGGCCCTTCCCGGTCCCGGTGGGCTGCTTGGATATCTGCGTTTGAAGATAAACACAAGCGTCAAGTGGTGTTGGGAAGTTTGGCTTTTATTATCCATGTAATGTATATTTATCCCCAAAATTGAGAAAAGTGTAATGCATTCTAAACCACAGCGTAACTGTGATCATCTTTCTTAGGTGTTTGGAAAGAAACTGGGGAAAAGAAATGTGCATTTCTATATTAAGGAACTGTATTTGGGACTCTCTGAATCGCTAGAGACAGGTTTTAGGGAGGGAGGAGGCATTACCTCTCCTTAGAGCATTTCTCAGTGTTTATAGGTTGTACACTGATGCAGTGATACGGTTGTCTTAGCGCAGCCAGCTCTGAAAACACTTTTATACACATCTATCTAGATATCTGTTACATCTATAGTTATTGTATCTGGAGTTTTCCTTAGTAAATGTTGGTATAATTTCTTACAGCTTGTCTGAATTTTCTGAAGCTCTGCAAAGTCAAGTACTACAACTATTGTCTTATTTATAATGTACAGGTGAGTTTTCTCAATTTCTTTTTTTTGTTGGTTTACATTCACAAACATGAAAGCAATATCTTATGTATTCTGCTTTGTGATAGAGGGATTTTATTATACAAACCGGTGACCCCATGGGAACTGGCCGTGGAGGGGAATCCATATTTTGGTAAGTAAAACTTTTGTGCTTCTTAATTGACAGAGAAGTTGAATAGGGGAGTAGGGTTTCCAGTTAGATTGTCTTCAGCTCTCTTGGGGCAGAGTTACTGATGGGAATTAAAAATGTTGATGCATAAGCTTCTTTGGTTGTCATGCCTCAATACCTTTTTAATTCCTACACTGCCTTTGGCCATTCAGATATTTTTTCTGGACAGTATTCTGTTTCTGACCTTAGAAGTGAAGTTATAACTAATAGGTTATACATAAATTTTTGTTTATTTTGAAGTTAGCAAATATCTACAGGTTTGGTTTTGTAAGAGAAGTATCATAACTGCTTTGTAGAAGACAAAATCTTTAGCAGTTTGTTACTACATTTATTTTGTAACAAAATTTAGTTTTGCAGGAGGGGAATATAGAGGCTATACTTGATTTCTTATGTATGTAAGAAAGCAATCCTGTTGCTCTATAAATTTACTTGAGTTCATTTTAGTCATGCTGAATGTGTATTAGGAAATCACTTTTCTTCCTTCTATAAGACGATTATAGTAGTCATACACATAAAAGTTGAAGAAATCATTCAAGCAGCTAGGATGGAAGTTAGCAAAGTGCATCTGTTATGTATGATTCCTTTGAAATTGTTATTAAAAGTAGAGTTAAAATTGGAGAGCAGAACTAAACAGGGAGTGCTGAGGAACACAGTGTGCAGAGATAAATAGCTCAGTCTGGACAAAGACAGTGTTGCTAGACCAATGTTGACTTTTTAAAGTCTATTCTGAGAGCTTCTTAAATACAAAACCTTGAACACCCGGATCCATGGATCACCACTCTGGTGATCCTGGAAGCAGTATAATTGTGCTAAGCAGATGCAAGTCTCGGTAAGGAAAACTGCTAGACGTGAGCTGTCTCTGCACACAGTAGATCAAGTTTATTTTGGTACTCTGCTCCTTTATAAGGATTTGTCTTCTGAGACTCATTGATATGGCAGATAGGGAATTATAGTGTGATGAGAGAGTGGGAGATTCTGTCCATCTACTAGCATGGAGAATGGCAATTTGTCTTTTCTGTCTGTTACTGCTAAGTCCACAAAATTGAAGTTTCTGTTCTTGCTACCCAGGAGACTGATGCAGGTAAAATTTAATTGAATCCTGTCCCCATAGAGGCTTACACCTGGTTAGCAAATTCAGTTCAAACACAACACTGTCCTTAAATTTGGGCAAATTTGTGTTTGGACCACACCTCTGTCAATTATGGAGTAAGACAAAATATCCGGGTTAGGCTTTAAAAATTAAAAAGAATGTAACAATTTGCCATATCCTGTGCATCTGAAATTACTGTGCGCAGGCCTGTCGGTATGATGAACTAAGTTTACACATAGACTTAGTGGCTTTCCATTTATCTTGGAAATTTGTGACAAATATTACAGTATGGATTAACTTATTTTTGTGGAACCTACCTATCAAAATACATATTCACTTCATGCCTTAGAAAAATGTTATATACTGCATTTAAAGACATACAAATACACTTCCCCACCGTCTCCCAAAATAGCCTCTGTGAAATGACTCAGAGAAAAAACTGTTGTTTCCTGTAATATAAAGCGAATTATGTAAGTGTACAGATCCATGGAAATGTGCATGGATGCAATGTAAATTCTAGTTTTATTTGAATACCAATGTAAGCATTTTAAAGATGCTTTAATAACTGTTTTATAGCATTTGTTTATGTCACTTTTTAAAATTCCTTTGCCTTGTATCGTTTGGTTTATATATTTTCAGTCAACTGTACGGTGATCAAGCTAGATTTTTTGAAGCAGAAAAAGTGCCAAGAATTAAGCACAAGAAAAAAGGAACAGTGTCAATGGTGAACAATGGCAGTGATCAGCATGGATCACAGGTTAGCACACAGTGTTGGAAACCCTTGGTACACGTCTAAGTAACTAAAATGAAAATTCCTTGAATTTGCAAAACGGGCATAGCAATGACAGTGTCATCTCAATAGCATCATCTTGTGATATGGTCAAAAGGCATGTAAAAAACCAGCCATGGATAAGTATTTTGCATATTATCCCAAGTGCCAATGATATTTGATTACAGACAAGAAAGAGATTAAAATGCTCAGATTCAAATCCTGGTCTAATAATTTTATACATTTAATTTGTTAGAATTTAGTTTTCTTTATTTTTTTCCTTTGTTTATTCATTTCTGTTAACACCTTGATGTGATTTTGCTAATATATAGAATGGGGAGGAAAAAATTCTGTAGTTAAATGGAAGTAAAAAGTATGGGTTTTGAAATAATCTTAAAACTTTCATGTTATAACTTAATGTTAGCTTGGAAACTGAAATCATACCACAGTTTCCTTTGTATGGTTACGTAACATTGATAATACAATATAAGTTTGCAGTTTTATCCCAGTGCTGGTATAAAACAATTTCTGAAAGTAGCATTGTTCCCTTTGCTGTTTCCTGTTCGTGGAAGCTTTTGCCAAAATTGTGGAAATGCATCTGCTGAATGCAGCTTGATGAAGACGTGATTTGAGCTCAGCTTGCTGCTGCCCAGAGGGATAGCCTGGCTCTGTCCTCTCATCAGCTGTGGTGCCTGTCACAACCTTTGCTGATCTTGCACAGCAAACCCACCTGGCAGATAACAGTCAGCTCTTCCTCTGCCAGTCCAGTTTTCTGACAGGTTATTGAGTCAAAACAGTTCACAGAAGGGTCCAACGAGCCAGAGCCGTAAGCTCATGTGGAGGGAGAGTTGTGGAGGGAGCCTCTCTTCCCCAGGCAGTGGCTGTGAGCTGTATGTTGGCTCGCCGTGCTCTAGGAGCTGATGGAAGGAGACTGGTCTTCTCCCACAGATGTATGTCAAGAGAGGTGGTTTTTTTCATCACTGATTTCAGTGAGGGTTGTACCTCTCCTAAGGTAAAATTCGAGCCCTGAATTTTTCTGTTTACTGGTTTTATGTGTTCTTTTGTAGTTTCTTATTACTACAGGGGAAAACCTGGATTACCTTGATGGTGTGCACACAGTATTTGGAGAAGTGACAGAAGGCATGGATGTATTGAAGACAATTAATGAAACCTTTGTAGATAAGGATTTTATCCCATATCAAGATATCAGGTATGACTGCTTTTAACTTCCCTTTTGATTAATACATTATAATTAAACAAATTAATCTTTTTTTTTTTTGGAAACTAGATTAATCCAGCAATGTCAGACCTGTACATATTATCTTGAGTACTCTTTTATTCCAGTATTATTGGTAAAATAAACAGGTACTAAAACAAACAACTATGATAAAAAATGTGCAACTGCGGTGCCTTTACAAAAGCACCGGTACTGGTATTTACAAGCATAAAGTAAGTTTGGCTGTTTGGGATATAACTGAGAATCAGTGGCACTGGTTCCCTGTTACTTGGGTAAGGAGAGTTTTATTTGCATGTGACTGATGCTGGTCTTGATTTTGTTTTCTGTAAGGATAAATCATACAGTGATTTTAGATGATCCATTTGAAGATCCACCTGGCTTGTCTGTTCCTGATCGCTCACCAGAACCTACTAAGGAACAGCTAGATGTGAGTGTTTGTGACAGCTTCCTGGGGAAAAGCTGAAAGAAAGAATTAAATCATTTTATCCCTATTAGTGGCCAGTGTAGACTTTGTCAGAATAAAAATTCTGTCTTTAAGACTTCGTCAAATCTTTATATGAAAAGAACTACACATTTTCGCATGGGAAGATAAGAGATGCTCCTCTACTACACCAACTTGAGTTCTTCTTATGTCAAATGTTTCTCTGTTATTTAGGACTACTGCTTTGTTCAATCAAATATGGCTGCTTAATCTTTCAAGAAAAGGACAAAAGAGTGACTTGAGTGCTCTCCCCGTGACTATGGTGGAGTTAGGTTGGAAAACCATATTTTAGTTTTCTAATTATGGTATGGATAAGCAGAACATTCAGAATGTTCACCTTAATGTTACTGTTTTTTGTAAACTCTGGTAGAAGACAAAATATAACTGATGTTTATTACTGTTAAAGTGCTTACTGCTCGTTTCCTCTTAAATGAGAAATTGTGTTTCAGTGGAAGTAATCTTGGTCATTCTTTGAGTACTGTTCGCAAGCATGCATACTGTTACGGTGTATTTATTCAAAGGGAAGGTATTGGCTAAAAATGTAATTTATAACTTATTCATAGCATGCCATTATGGAAGTTGCTAGGTGAGATTATCTCCTTGTATGGAAACAGTTGTTTCAAGCAATGAATAAATTGACTAGAGAGAATACTGTTCATTTTTAAGCATAATAAATATAATTATGAGATTAGAATTAGGCTTTCATAGTACATCTGCACTGTGGTTGATCTCTGGTGTACCTTCAGGTATGTTGAATGGTATAAGGAGTTTAACTGCCAGCTGTGTAGAGGTTTGAAAACTTATGCTTAATTTTCTTCCCCTATCGCCTGTCTGAAGATACACCTTTTGGTATAGAAATGTCTATAAGAAGGGCATCATTCTGGAGGTGCTGACAAGGATAAAAAATTAAACCTCAAATCCTGCCTAGATGTAGCTGTGTAAAAATAAAATTCTTGTTGTGATATACTGTATGTAATGTGTGAGTCTTACTGGACACCACAGATATTTGCAGTGTTCCTTATCTTTATTTCTGCTAGGAGCTATCTAGATTAGAAATGAGTTGATGCTTGTGGTGAGATGTTGAGTATGAGATGGGAGCATAGAAGAATCTAGAATATCTAAATGAATATGGTTCAAATTGTGCCTGAAAGTTCATACATAGTTCATAGTGCCTAAAACATGAGGATAACATAATCTCTCTCTCTTCTTTTAATCTTAAGTGGGAAGAACAGAATGAAAGCCCAGTTCTGCAGAGATACAGTACATAAGCATTTTCCATGTCTTTGGGGGTGAGGAGGGAGGTCATCCAAGTAATATTTGGCAAGTGAGAGAGAATTTTTGGTCATGGCTTGGTAATAAATAGCTTTTTACTTCACTTTTCAGAGTGGCAGAATAGGAGCAGATGAAGAAATTGATGATTTGAAGGGACGGTCTATAGATGAAATAGAAGAAGTTGAGGCAGAAAAAGAAGCGAAAACCCGTGCAATTCTTCTGGAAATGGTAAACATATTTCTGTTTTTACCTTTTAGATACTATTCCTCTATGTGTGCATGCTACATCAAGTCTAGGAGGGTGTGTACAGTTTATCTTGAAATTGCTTATCTGATGATGATGTCATGGCTGAGAATCTGTGCTATTAAATGTGGTAAAATGAAAGTGCTTGAGCATGAGCGCTGGCAGTAGTTTTCTGATAAAACCAGTGATATTTCATTTTTAAAGCCAGGATTAGAAGTGGACCAGTGGAGGCTTTATAGAAAACTTGCTGGAAATGCATCCAACTGAAAGACATAGCATATGTAATACACTCCTGAATATCTTTAATCCTGGAAAAGGTTTAGCATGTGTGGGAAAGAGCTGAACTAATTTGTGATAATACTTGAGATAATCTTACTGTCTTACTTTGACATAATATTTGTACTTTTCCCAGTACATGTAGTGGTGTTTAGATTGCATTATTCGTATATGTAAGGGCTGTCTTCCACCTGTGGGATTAATTAAATTTAACATAGGTTAACTTCACATTCTTCCTTCTTAAATACAGTGTTTGGTAACTGCTGGCAGTTGTAAACTCCATATATAAACAAAAATTGTGAATAGGCTTTGAAGTCTTTTCTAAGTTAAAAAGGAAAAGGAAGAAAAAGCACACATGTTGTTGAAGGATGAGTGAATCCATCACGCTTCTTTACAACTACCAAATTTGAATTTATGGTGAATAGTTTGCAACAGAGGCTAATACCAAGGTCAGTCCAGATGTGGTCACAGTGTTGCAGAAGATCTGGAGGTGTGGGCTCTTGTTTTACAGCAGCAGTGGGGCTAATGACCTGTTTTCCAGATCAGGTTAGCTAAAAAAGACAATGCAGTAATTTTCAGTGGGTATTGCTGTGTAGCGTGCAATAAGGAGCTGTGTTATGTAAGCTGAAGAGGTGAAAAACTAAGTGTACTGCTAGTTTCACTGGTTTGAAAGACCCCAGCTACTGATTCCACTATTCTTTTGTCAAAAGAGTAAACCAGTAAACTTCTCCGAGAGTGTGACATGCTTAAACTCCTTTTGTTTTCTCTTGTGGAATCTGCTTCTCACTTGTGCTATTTTGCTGCTTTCTGCTATAAAACTAATGTGCATTAGCTTATTATTGAAATATTAATTAGAAGATGGAGAGAAATTATTTAAATATCACTAGTCTTTCATTCAGGTTTTTTAAGAGTGCTACAGTTCAACAGGAGGTGGTATGTGTATTTGCTTTTTCCTCTCTAACTTAATTTGCTAGTTCGAGGATGGGAATTTTGATCTAAGGTTGCAAATATCAGAGTTGTGCGTATTGTAAGCAAGTGGTGTTTCTCAGTAAGTATGAATGCTTTCTCCCTTCTGTCTGTCTAAACAGAGTTGTAAAATTTGTAATGGAGTTGTAAAATTTTAACTTCTCATTCTTACCAAGGTATCTTAAATTCAAACTTCTCCTAGCTGTTGCCAGATTTCAAGGAAAGGTGAGTTTATCTTGGGTGCAGACAGGGACTAAGGAATGGATCCAGTCCATTTTTATTTTTATAACAGAGTAGCTCTAAAAGTACGCTTTCACAACTGGATTTGTTATGTTACGAACAGGGAGAGCAAGGTGGAAAGTATTTGTGACTTTCATGAATTCCCAGTAGTGGAATTGCAAAGAGATGATAATTTTTGGGTGCAATGGAAAGCACTTTTTTGTGACATTGAACAGGAAAAAGATTTTACTAATTTTTGGTTTTGGGGTAGGAATGTGTCTGAGATTGTCCAAAGGAATGTCTTGCCAGTGTGCTGGAGCCAATAAAATGCAGAGACTTTAAGGCAGAAGTGATGAAAGTATTTTTCTGTATTGCACAGGTGGGAGACTTACCAGATGCAGACGTCAAGCCGCCAGAAAATGTGCTGTTTGTTTGTAAACTGAACCCAGTGACCACAGACGAAGACCTAGAGATAATATTTTCTCGATTTGGTCCCATTAAAAGGTAATGATTGTAAATTAAGAAAGAAAACTTTCTTTGTTGAAACTGAACTTGATTCCTGCCAGCCTGTTTAGGCTTGACTGTTAGGTAAGTAGTCTGGCGTGTCTGGAGATGTATCCTGTGCCTGCACGTAATTGGATAGAGACCACAATAGCAGTGATACAAAGTCACATCTAGCTAGGTGAGTGTCCTGTCCCAGCAGACTTTTTATTTCTGCCTGATAAGAAGATGGTTGCTAAAGTGGTGCTTGCTAAGAAGAGAAAGTTTGTCACATAATGTCTGTTTAAACTTTCCTTAAAATGACTGAGAAGACAGAATGTGAAATTTCTTGTCTTGCATTAGTGAAATGCAAAAAAATCAATAGCAAACAGTAGTGTTGGAAGACAGATTTTGTTTTCTTAATCAGAAATTAATCCTTAGTTCTACATTTCATATTAACCATTTGTGAGTTAAGTGTAATAATTATTCAAGTAATGTCGCATGCATTTTTTTCTGTGCAGACACCCCTGCATCAGTGGGGGTCTTAGAATCAAGTGTTATAATAACTTAAGGGTTTGTTGCGGTTTTTTTAACTGTTACTCTCCCTTTTAAGCAGTGCTTGCCTATCCTACGGATTTTGCTTCAATAGCACTGACATTTTAATTTCAATTTTTCAGCTGTGAAGTGATTCGAGACTGGAAGACTGGTGAATCTCTTTGTTATGCTTTCATAGAGTTTGAAAAGGTATGTTTTTGGGTATACTATATGTAGATTTTGCTTATAAAAGTTCTTTTTTGTATACTTCCATTAAGGAAAAACAATGAAATCTTCAAGTGCGGGGTAGCCAGTATTTTCTCTTATTGACTTAGTTACAGAAGTTGTAAGTCCTAAATGTGGCAAATGTTTTAAGTGTTTCTCTGTCCAGCCAAGCAATACAAACCAAGGGGAGGGTAACAGGTTGCTTTTGTTTTCCCTAGAGCACATTAGGACTTGGAAGAGTTAAAGAAGGGAATTCTAGGAGAAAAAGGAGGCATGCTCATAAAGAGAGGAGGGTGTATGAAAGAAGGTAGATCAGTGTGTCCAGTAGTGTCCTGTATTTGGCTTGTAAATGGTACTTGCTTTATCAACATGCTGCTCTCAATGCCTCAAAGTTTTCTGTAAACGTTAATATCAGGAGGAAGACTGTGAGAAGGCCTACTTCAAAATGGACAATGTGCTGATAGATGACAGACGGATACATGTGGATTTTAGCCAGTCTGTTGCAAAGATTAGGTGGAAGGGAAAGGGTAGGTACACTTGCGATTTCTCTGACCTTCATAATTTAATAAGGCATGACTTCTGAACTCTAAGTCTTACGTAAAGAGAAGCAATTGTTAGGAGTTTAAATCATCTCCTCTTCAGGGATATAAATTTTCCTGGTACTGAAATAAGTAGAGCAACACAGTTCCAAGAGTAGAAGGGTTTACTACTGTTATATTAATAATTTTTATCAGATTTATTTATGCCACGAAATAATTTGTTCCCCTAAAGCTTTATAAGTGATGGTTTTTGATATTGCTTATTAGCAAAAGAATAAAGCAGCACACTATTACTTTCTAGTTTTGTTATTCACTGTATGGCAGTTGGGTGTGTACATTAAAATGTCATTATTCAGACCAGGGATTTCCCATCTTCACGTCCTGTAAGTTAAACACATTGCATAGCAGGCTATATGTCATAAAACCCAGTTTCAGATGTTTGAGGATGTTTTGGGAGGAGAAAAATGGTGGGAGGGAGAGGTGAATACAGCAGTTACTTGGTTGTTGAGGATGTGAGGAAAACACTGACCTTGGAGAGGTGATTGTGCATTGCAGTGATGACATTCTTGTGTGTCTTCGCCTAAAAAAGCAGTCAGCTCTGAACTGTTTGCATATGGTTTCTCCAGGATGGTGACTAGTCAGGGACATGAGGTACTAAAACTTGTCCTGCACAGAGCTGAGATACGTTTGTGATCTATACCATGTTCCACAGTGCATCATGTACTGACTGACTACATGGAGAACTGTTCTTTATCTGGGTAACTTAGGTCTAAATTGTCCTAAATATTGAAAAGCTAACTATACTGTCATCTTGTTATTGTGCTAATATGGTACCTGAAAAATGACCTAGGGGAGGTACTGTCCTTCCACCTCCAGCAGCCGTTTCTGACCTAGCCAGTTAATATTGCAGTTTTAAGTATGACCGTGAGATGGCAGCACGTTGCTGTAGAATAGCTGTATTAATCTGTGAGCTGGTACTTTCAAGTGAATGGATAGGAAAGGAAATCTGATATGCCCCTCTTTAGATCAAGACATGACAATTGTTTTTATGGTTGTCCATTTGAATTCTCAGAGGTCAGCCCAGAGCAAAAAGTCATTTAACAATGAGAATAGTCTGCAGGCTTGCCTGGTAACAGAATTTTAAGTAGTGTGACATAGGAGCTGTAATATAAGTGGGACTAAACCAGTTGCTAAATCCTGCTTTGTGATCCTGTTCACGTGTTGTCTCCACTTGACATAAGCGAGGAGAAAGCCACTTGTTGTTTAATGGGATCTGCAAGCAAGAGAAGGACAGAAGATCACAGCTTGTCCTACTCGCTTCCACTGTTACCCGGATGTCAGTGTTGTTTCTGGAACTGTATCCTGCTGTGAATCTCTTTATGGTTGTGAAGAGCCCTTAAATTCATAAGCAGAACTTAGTGATAGGTGTGGATCTTGGTTGTTTTTTCAGTTGGAGTAAATTTAATGTATTTTTCTGTGAGCAGGTGGGCAGTATACCAAGGATGATTTCAAAGAGTACGAAAAGGAACGTGACAAACCTTCAAAACTTGCTCTGAAAGAAAAGGCGAAACCAAAGCAGGAGTATCCTTTTCTGGTCAAAGGGATTTTTTGAACAGTGTACAGTTTTTGAAAACAGCCTGGAAAAGACTTCTTATTCTTAAAGCTTGCCAAGTGGATGTTTCTCTGATGTTTCATCTAACCATTTGGTGTTTGAGATGGAATTAAGCATTTTTTTGTTTTTCATTTGGTGACTTTGATGAATGTAGTCAAATCAGAATGTGCTGTTTCACTTTCATACTGTGTGCAGGTAAATAATGTTCCCAGTCCAGAGCCCTGGAATGACAGAGTTTTAAGTAGTTAAGTAGTTTCCCAAGGGACTTGCTGCATCCAAAATAAGACCATAGTAGTAACTAAATTATGCTCCATGATGATGCTTTGCTTGTGGTGAGAATGAGAGAAGACTGTAGCTTGTTTAGATATCCACAGGTAGAAAAGAAAGGAGACTCGTGACCTGGCTGTACTGTTTGAGAGGACAAAATTCAGTCATTTTAGCACAGCTGTTTTTTTCAGTGTATACCATCCTGTTCTGACTAGAAGACATAGTAAGTCTTGGTAAATCCTGGTCTGACAAACAGGGATTTGTTTGCTTCATGAGCTTTTATGTTCTGCTGTTTATTGATAATAAGTAACAGAGCCATCCTTAACCAGCACCATCAGTGCCAAGTATGACCTTGTGCTGGATGAGGATGTAGAAGAGTCTCACACAAGTCAGTCGCACTCAGCTAAAAAACAAAAGAAGAAAAAGCACCACCACTCTGAAGATGAAGAGGATGACAAGAGGACCAAAAAATCTAAGGTACTTACCTCTTCATGCATTGACTTCACACACATTTATTGTTCTAGTAAGGGAAGCCAGGAAAAAAAGAGGTCTGATATTGCACTGAGGACATGGAGTGCAAAGTCCCATAAAATACAGCAGTTGTAAACATACGGAAGGCTGATGTTCGTATCTGTTATGAAAGAGGCTTTCCAAATCTTCCTGGACTTTTGAAGCTTGGCATGTATGAATGGCTTTTTGCCAAAACATCCTGAAAAGGCAATGTAGCCTCTCATAAAGTAGGAGATCTTCAGCACTTTGAACCTGTTGTTCACATGTTCCTGGTCATAAGCTAGTAGTTAATCATATTTCATGAACACAAACAGTTTTTCATTTTCTTGCCAGACCACCGTGTGTTGGCTTTTTCCCGTATGGAATCAGAAATGCTATCTGTTGGCATTATCTTTTTTTCTTTAATTTTTCCTTAACTGTTTTGGAAGTGTTTGTATAAAATCTGTGTGCAGATTTGCTTGCATCTGTATTGTGCAAGCATTTGGTGCTGTAAGGCTCTGCTGTGGAGGGGATCGTCAGAAGGCAGTAGTTCAGTCATGCATTAGTTTCAGGGCAGCCTGTCAGGTCAGCATTCTCACATTTCTGTGAACTTGGGATACTCAAGATGTTGATGTTTCATGGAGACAATGCTTGCAATGATGAAGTAGAGGGTTAAGTGTGAGCATTCTGCAGAACTGAGCTAAGCTGAAAACCAAACTGCAATATTTTAACAATGCAAGCTTTATGAGTGAGAGTAAAGCTGTCTTCTAGCAACTTTGCAGCAAGTTACAAGGTTCCAGATACAGTGAATAAAGCCATTGTCCTGGCATGAGTTTTGAATACTGCTTTAAGCTCTGCGTACAGAGAGTGTAAATGATTTGGTGGTTCCATTGCATCACTTCTTGCTGTGATGCTAAAAACAACTTTTCTCGTGAACGTTAGCAGTTAGTTGTTTTCACTACCACCAGTAAGCCCTATTGCTCATTCGTGGAACAAGTGTTTCTGTCACTGTTTGTATGCTAATTCAGTCAGGATCCTTTGGATGGAGGAGAGGGACCTGTTCAGATCATTAAAGTCTCGATCAGAGCATATACATGGAAGAGGTCTGAACTAATGTTGGTTTAGACTTCCTCCTGTCTTTTTGGCTGATTGGCGTTGCCATTTTAACATTCTTGAAATGGATGTTTCTGGAGGTAATCTTTGTACTGTGTGGAACTAGCTCATCATGCATTATCAGCAGAGAACATTTTAAAATCATTCAGAAGTCTGCCCCTCTGCAGGTTGTACGATGAGTACTGGCAGCTTTAGGCTGTTAACCTCCAGGCTGTTAACCTCTGTCTGTCATAACTGTTATAAAGGGACTGCTAGACACATTAGCAGTGGATTTCATAGCACAAAAATGTGAGGACAGAAGGATTCCTGGTGCTATTTCCAGGTTCTGGAAAGATTATTTTCTAGTGCTTGGCTCTGTGATCTCCTCTGTGTCTCTGTACATCTTTGTGATTTAGTTGCCTGCTCCTGTTGTGGTTTGTTCCTGTAGTCTAGTTCTTCTGTATTCTGGTATCTTCCTCTCTCCCACTGCTTTCCTCTCTGTTGCTCACCTTTACCCATTTGTAATAGCTTAGCTTCCTTATGCCCAAAATCAGAGGTGGAGGCTGACTTCTGTTCTCTGATGAGCTTGCAGCTGTGAAAATGAATTTGTGGGAAGCATTTTTCTCTGTCTGTACTGGAATATTCTTGCTAGTGCATACTGGTATACTCTGTACATACTGAGCAGCATGTACTGCTTGATTTAGAGATTCAGTAAGTGTCTTGGGCATGGTACTTTCCAGATGAAATCTGTAGGCAGCTTAGCTGACAAATCCTGTTTAGCATATAGAGAATGTTATTTTTTCCTGTTAGATTTATAATTTAAGTATAATCTGGGGAATTTGTACAGGAACAGGGGAAGGAGGCATGTTCTTGAGGCAGTGTATGTTCAGTATGAGTACCAAGACCAGCACAAAGCATAACAGCATGGAAAACTTTTTGATGAATGGTAGCATTTTTAATATTGGCAAACAAAGTATTTTCCCTTAACTCTATTTTGGAAGTATTAGAATGGATTTGAAGTAAGAACTTTAAAACAAAACAACAGCAGACATCCCACAGCTAATTAGCCAAAGACCTCAATAGCCATGCTCCATATATCAACTTCCACCCTGAGCCCCTAGTGTGGCAGAGATTTTCATTAACAGAGATCAGGGTCTTCTAATGGGAAGGTCTGACAACTGAAACTGCAGTTTGTGCTACAAGCTCCAGCTATGACTGAATGAAGGGGTTTTATTTCCAAATAGTTTCCATGATGTTGTTTTTCTGTTCTTCTGCTGTTTTTTCTCTTTGGTGTATTTTGACTCATTCTTTTCTTAGTCCGACACCCGTTTCCTGAATCTGCAGCCTCTGTGTTGATCTTTTAAGAATGTATTTTTTGACTGTTGTGCTGTTTTGACTTGATTCCAGAGGGCAGAAGGGGTAGGGTGTTGTGGCTTGCTTTTAGTAGGTAAGAGGATGTGGGTCTGGAGTAGGAGGCTGCACTACCATGTGGGTTTGTGAATAGGATTTGGTAGAGGTGTTGTTTTTTTTAGACAAGTCTTGCTTCTGCTTGAGATCTATATTATGGCTTTGGTCCCTTTCCTGTTTTATCTGTGGTTTTTCCCTTTTTCTCCCCCCCTCCCCCCCCCTTGGATTTTTTTTTCTTTTAAATATACCTGGATCAGTGGAAGAGTATAGCCTGCCCAATGGATTTCTGCTTCTTGGCTCTCAGGTTTCTCTAGTGCATGGTTTTGGCAAAGATACTGATTTTCCTGGTTGTAATTTCTTACTCTTGCTGCTTCTTAGGCACTGCTCTGTTTATATTCAGGGTCAAGCTTGGTCAAAATCTCCCTACTGAAAAGGCTGTCTATATTTATTTGCTCCTTTAAACCTTTAACCTAGAGTGCTTAATGTATGTAGAGGTGACTTTTTTGTTCTGCTTTTGTGATCATGGCATTTCTAGCTGGTTTACCTGCAAATGCAGTTTGGCAAGTTGCTACTTTTGGTGAAGTCAGCAATGAACTTCCAAGGAAGTGTCTTTCCCTCTTTTCATACTTCCTTCCTCATGTGTGCTCACCAACACAGTGCTGAATTAACAATTGAGATGATCATCACTTAATCTTTGACCGATAGGTTGTGATCCTGGATTGAGAAATCTGGACTTCAGCAGTAAGAGAGTGCCTGTTTTTAAGTAGGAATCTTTTTCTTCCTCTTCCAGTGGGAAAACAGAATGTTTCTGACTTGGACAGGGCATAAAAGATTTGATTTCAAAGTACTGGTTTTTTTTAGTAACTTAAGAAATTGACTTTTTTCTGGTAAATCTTAAGTAAGATAAAAATCTTATTTAAGCGGAAACAACAGATTTTTGGGAGTAACTAAGATACAACTCATTCCATTAATTGAAATTATTATATTTTTTTCTTTACACTGTGATCATATTAGCTACTGTGGCGAGCTTTATGTGGCACTTTCAGACTTGCCCTGTACGCCTACACCCTCAGTCCTTCTGTGAAGCTCATTGTGCTGAGCTAGCTCTGTGCTTTTTTTTATTCCTTTCAGCAAGTTACTCTTTTCTGTGGCATTCAACACAGGCTATTTGTCTTTGCTTTCAAGTCTTCACTAACCTGTTCCCTCCCTGATTTGGCCAGCAGTCTGTCTCCAGTTTTGGCTTGGTACCTTTTTTTGGCTGACTGCTGTTCTGCATTTCTCCTGTTCCTCCTTGTACTGGGAGGAAACTTCAGCAATGAAGCAGCTAGAAGGCAGCGGTGCACTAAGCCCACCACGTGCCCAGTATTTTTCATGGAAACATAGAATAACTGAAGTTCGAAGGAACCGATGAAGACCATTGAGTCCACCTCCCTCCTCCTCATAGGCCTATCCAAAACTAAATCTTATGACTAAGAGCGTTGTCCAGATGCTCCTCAAACTCGGACAGGCTTGTTGCCGTGACCACTTCCCTTGGGAGCCTGCTCCAGTGTCTGACCACCTCTCTATTCACCACCAGTCGGTCTCTTCTGATGATTACTCAGGCCCTGCTACGAAGGGACTTGAAACCTGACATCTTGTTCAGACAGATGGAGGCTGAGGACTTTGGGTACAAGAGAAATAGGCTGTGCATAATTTTGAAGATGAAGGGACAAACCTCTTGTAAAGTGCTGGAATCACTACTCTTTTTTGATGGATTCAGACTTAAAAACCTGTACTGAAATAAGAGTTTAACAGTAAAGATGTGGAATAAGCATTTGGCCACCAGTGAGATTACTGTATCCAGCAGTAGCAGAAATTTTTTGTTGTGTAGATGAAGATCAAATCTATGATTATTGTTGATCTGGAGGCGTTATGTTGCTTATTTTAATTCTAGTATTTCAGCATTATCTACATAGTTCTAAAGGTGATGTTTGCTCACTGCCTGTCTGGATAAAAGATCTGCTTCCAGTAGAGTTTTTTTCACTATTCTTTTAAATTAATAAGGTTTGCTTGTTTTTACATCCAGTATAGGTTTTAGCCACACAATTGTCAATGCTACTGCCACGAGTACATATTTAGAAAAATGAAAATCGTATCTGCAATTAAGAAAGAAATACTGTATAATTTAATGCAGACATTTTTTGTAGTTCACAGTGATCTGTGTCTAATAGTAGTGTTATTAAAATCTCATAAAATGGTATCTGTCTACTAGAGCATATATAGTGACACTAAACTTTCAAGTGATCGTACCTTCAAAACCAAAGTGCCAACCACCTTCTTAATAGCAAGTTGTATATGTATCTTTCTGTAGGATTCTGAAGCTCCTCTTGTATTTTTGTCATCTTTTGTATATCTTTTTATCTTTTGTATATCTTCATTGAATAATGAGATCAAAATAGTTTTGAAAATACTAGGAGTTGACATGTCAAAATTCAGTGTTGTATATTAAAAAAACCTTTAGTGTTTCTTGAAATGAAGTGGCCGCTTTGTAAGTGATCTTCATCTTTTTACTTTTAAAATTACCATGGTGCTGTGGCCTGTATATCATTCTGGCATGTGCTGTGCCATAATCGTGTTAGTGCGACATTTCACAGTCTGAGTAATTAAGCCATCTTTCCTTCATTCCCTCATACGCTGTCTCAGTGGTTTCATACTGTCTGCGTAGTGCAACCAGCGAAGCCGGTGTTTTACTGGTAGCAGTTCCTCCTTCGTTACAGCAACCTCGTTTCTCTCCAGAGCAAATCCATTCTGTACACTGAGCCGCTCAGTCTGCATTCTTGGTGACAATATGCAAAAAGTGAGGGAGATTCAAAATTTCCTCATTTTTTTGCTACCTGAACTTGCAGCATTTTTTTTAGAGGCTTCTGTCTGTGTGTGCTGAAACACTGTTACCACTTGTAGTACATAGTGTTGGTCTCTCCTTTTTAGGCCATTTCAAATTAGATAGACTTGCACCCCTTAGAGTTTACTGAGTCTGTGTATGAGTGTATCCTCATGTGTTTTCAACGGTGTCGTTCACTTTTTCCAAAGCCTGGAACTTAGGCCAGTAAGGATTATTACAGGCAGGTATTAAAAATTGTTCTGCATCTTCATAGCACTGGAATGCCTGTGGGCCTTGAACCGAAACCTATGATCAGAATACTTGCATTGCTTAGATAAGAAGTCAAAATCCAAATCTAGCCTAGAAGCTTGTGCAATGCTTATGAAGAATTTGATAATATCCATTTGTGTTGAATCCCTGATATAACCAGTTTTTGCTAAAGCTCTTTAGGAAACAGAAGCAGCAGCATGCCTGACAGCTATGCTTTTTTCCGTAAATGCTAAAAAACCTGTAGACTTATTTTCTTCATATAGTTACAGTGGGGTTTTTTTAATGTTTTATCTTTTTCAAATCAAGATGGTACTATTTCAGGTAGTACAAGCTTTATCCAAGGAACCAACCATGTGTGACTCTTTTCTAATTCTCTTCATGTCTTTGTATATTTTCCCTTTTTGTCTGTAACTGCATATCTGTCCAATTCCTTTAACAGGATTCTGATCGAAAACATGAAGGAGAGCGCTGTAGAGAGAAGATGAAGAGTGAGAAGAAAGACAGGCATCGGAGTCGCAGCCGATCTCAAGAGAGGGACTACACTTACAGCAAACAAAGAGACAAATACAAAGATGACTTTCAAATAAGAGACTGGGATAAAAAAGCAGACAGAAGCAGAAGTCCTAAGAAATCAAAAGACAGAGAGAGGTCCAAGTACAGATGAAGGACGAGGAAAAGAGAGAGAGAGGAACTAAAATATGTTTTCTTCCAGCATTTCCAACATTTTCTCAAATGGATGTGCAGTTACTGGATAAAAGCAGTTGCCTTCTGTTGGCAGCTTGGCCTTATAATTCTAGGAATGCCCATTGTATGACTGTCAGCGTATGTCTTGATTCCAAAAAGGTTGTTTTAATAAAGTATTTCACATTAGTGAAATGGTTTGAATCTCTAAAGAATATTGTCTAAGGCTTTTTGGAAACTAAAGCATGCACTAACAAGTGAATTGCCCTTCTCCACTGTGAAGAGAATTTCAGGATGTAGCTCCTTTCTACATGGAGGTTGTATTTAACTTTCAGTACTTTGAGATGCTATGGTAATGAGTGTGAGAAAAGACCTGGGGAGACAGAATTGTGCTGTGGAGTGTTCCTTCTAGAAAGTGGGCAGATACCATTTATATATGAATACTCAAAACTCTGTTTTCTTCCTTTAAAATTTAGTGCATCTGGTTGGCTTAGTCCTGTCAGCTCTGTTTGCTGGCACCACTGTACAGCAGTGCTTAAAGGCGCTGAAGTGCGGCTTGGAAAGGCAATGGGAGTGCTGCACCATACCACATCAATAGCATGCACTTGCTCGCTTATTTACACAGATAACTTGATGTCGTGGTGTTGCTGGAGGATGTCTCTCAGAACTGAGACTCACTTGCTACCTGGCCCATCGGGCCTCTGTGGTGTGAGGGGGATCCAGCTGCTCTGATGTCAAGCAAGGTTACGTTGCGTGGGTAAGAAAGAAGAAAACAGTCACTAGGAGAATTAGCAGAAAAACAGAATTTGGAACTTGCATTGTATTTGCCAAAGGATAGATGGGATTAATTTTCAAGTTTTGTGGCAGAAATAGGTCAGTTAATAACTCTTAATCTACAGAGGAATGTAGATGATGTTATTGGAGCCTGGGTCCTAGTGAAAGTTTGCAGGCTCTTAAGTGTCTGGCTTGCTCTGATAAACAAGATCTCGCCACTTAAACAGCATGCATTTTAAGAATATTTTCTTCCCTTCCATGAAATGTGCGATGGCTCATCTCTGCTTTGATAAATAAATTTAGCATTTTTTTTATTTTTGTGATTGTGATTTTTCTGTAATAATTGCTGTAGCGTCAGGTTGTAGTATGTAATAAGACTTCATGGCTTGATGCATCTCATTGGACAAGGACTAAAATTCAAGGCAGCCAAGAAGAGTCACTGCAGATTACTGAGCCCTGGAGGGCCAGTAGCTGTGCCTGACCCTAGTGCATGGGAATGGACCGTTTGCAGAAAGTGAACTTTTGATTAAGATGCTTCTGTGGGAAGGCTGGTACTGGAGGAACAAAAGCAGCTGTGTGCCCCACAGCAGAAAATGCTGACTAAGCTGGGCAGGCCATATGCCTAGAATATCCAGACCCAAGCTGTGTGAGTATATTGAGGGTATTGTATACAAAAATGCAGCATCTACCCTGTCTTCAGTTTGTTAAAGATTAAGTGTATTTGGCTAAGAAGCTGCACTTTGCTGAATCTCTAGCTTTTGTGTGCTTCAAAGCACAAAACTAGAAATGCAGCATTCCCATAACATTCCTGACAAAATGTTTCTACACCACTGTGGACTTGCAGGGTCCAGTGCTGTCCTTGCAGAGTCTGAGCAAGAGTGCAGGGCCCACTGCCCCAGAGGATAAATAAATGGGAAGCCTGCTCTTGGGAGGCTCTTGTGGCTGAGGATGGCTCACTCTTCCCATCAATAAAATTTCTGCCTTCAGTCTGGGCCTAAGATGACTTCCAAAGAAGTGTGCTGGACCAGGATATGATCCATTTGGGGTAGCGCTGCTGAGGCAGTAGGTTTTCTCCAGCTCTTCCTACTTTTAGCCTGCATTGTTAAAGAAACAAGGTTTGCACTGCCGTACTGTGCTCAGTTCTTTTCTACAGCACATTTTTAACATGCAAAAAATGTGAGCAATATTTGACAAGTATATGGAGATGTTAAAGCATTTAAGTTCTTGCTGCCTTTAGGAAATGGCAGTCATAGAAAGAGGAAAAAAAAGAGCTTCCACTCTGAGAAAAAGCTGGATTCCTACTGAACACCAGAGGTCCTCTTATGGATAAAAGTTTTTCAATGGCATGAAGAGTTCAGCAGACATTCCCAGGCTTCAGCTGGCCCCCAACCGCCTGTAGGGCCTACACAGCTTGATGCTTAAAAACAAACACCCTGTTTCTGGTGAATTTGCTCAAGTCTCAGCAGCATAAATGTTTTGGGTTTTGTTGTTGGGTTTTTTGTTGTTTGGTTGGTTTTTTTTCTCACAACAGGTAAATGCTTAAGAACTGAACTTTTGTATTAAGAGTAGTGTATGGAAGTAAATAGTTTGCATAGAAGGCCAAAGACACTTCAGAATAAAGAGTTAAAAAATAAATACTTGCAAAAGGTTTCAAGTTTCTGATTTTCAATATGCCTTGGTACTTTTAAATATGTATCTGGTATCTTCAGATGGATGAAATTACCTGTTTATATTTGTAAGCTAAAATTTTCAAATTAAAATTTAAAATTTAAGTTAAAAATCTAAAATTCAAATTCAGAAGTTAGGTGACAGCATAAAAGCTCCCTATTTGGAGGTAGGTACTTAATTTAGGTACTGCTAAATAAGACTGAATTTCTGGGCTGCTTTGCTAACACTGGAGGGGTGGCAGTTGATCTGGTACACAGATGAAGTGCTGAGCACTCTGGGTTAGATGGGATTTACTGCTATGGTCATCGGAAGTTACAGTTGTGTGCATGTGGTTCTTCTGGAAATGACACGAGCGAGCTGTATGGTCAGCTGAAACCACAGACATTTCCTGCTGTTCCTGTCCTGCCACAGGTGTTGAAGCAGGCAGGACTTTTATTATCTGGGAGCTGAAGAGCTGGTTTGTTTTATTCTATCGAGAGTTCGCACTTCCCTATCCTCATTTCCTTTTCGTCAGTGCTATCTCCAACCTCAGTTTGAGTGTTAACATTTGGTGCTTGCAGTGGTTAAAAAAACAAAACAGAACGAAAAACCTCACCTTCCTCTATAATGTTGAGAATAGTACTGAACATGTCACAGCAGAACCATCAGCTTCTTCACTTTGACTTAGCTGAGGCCTGTTTGAAGGATAACATGCTTTAGGTTCTCTCTTCAGAGATTAAAGGCTTAAAAAACAGCTCCCTATAGTTTTCTGTTGGATTCTCTTCCCTGTAACAACTTAAAAATACAATATAGAGCTACTATTGTAGCCCATGGATAAGAGGAAGTTGGAGACCTATTCTGTAGTCATGTGCTGCAGTTCCTTTACTTCTCTGCAGGTCTTTGTAGGCTTGAGGTAGACTTGGCCAAAATCCATGTTATGAATGAAGCCTAGTCTTAAAGCTCTAAAGGCAAGTGAGAGCAGCTAGGGTTTTGCAAGAGATCTCATTATAAGTAGTTGGTGTTCCTGCATGGGTTACAGGGCAAGCCAAAAATATTCTTGATAAGCCTGGTGTGTTCTCTACCTGATGGCTGTCGGCCTTCTTGCTGATGGGTTCCTGTTTTTCTTTTCTCAAAGACCATTACTATGTTCATGAAACTCCCTGAGCAAAACCTGGGTTGTGCTCTGGGTGGGTTAGGGAGCTGGCAACACACAGATGTCTTCGTCAAAATCCTTTTTTGGCACAATGCCTTGGTGTGTTTGTTCTTCCTCTGGGATGTGTCCTGAAAGAGTTGTACGTGCATGGATGGAAGAGCGTGCCATGTGTCCCTGGTTCGGGGCTGTCAAGAATCTTTCTGTAGCAAAGCTGTACCTGCCTCCTTCCACTAGTCAAAAAAAAAAATCAAAACAAAAACCCCCAAACGCCATCCAAACAAAATAAAACAAAGAGCACAAGTGCCTGCTAGTTATTTGGACAAGCATTTTTAATTGCACATTTAAGAACCTGCATTCAAAATCTTCAGGAAGTTCAGAAGCATTTCTGAATCTGTTGTTGCTCTTATCTTTGTTCATCTCATCTTCCAATAGCCTTTTTTTCATATAAATCTTGTATGTTATTAATAACAGGATTACAGGTTTTTCTTGTAAGCTTCCTAGAGCATGGATAATGTCAATCCTTTCTGTTACCTGTGGCATACGTAAGAATAGTATAAGCAATCTGAAAAATGTTTAATTACACCAAAAATTATGCAAATATTTCCTACAGGATAGTATTTTTGTGTAAAACTCTTGATCTGGCTATTGACAGAATGTGTTTTCTCAGTAGGCAGGCCAGTAGCATCTTGGTTGAACACAGCAGCTGTGTTAAAAGGCAGCAGTAAACCGTATTCAGGTTTAGGTCTTCCAAGCATATGATTTCATTGAAGCTGAAAGGCTTCTGAAAGAGCTTTCTGAAATCTTAATCTGAACAGCAGTAAACTTGTGAACTTGAAACTTGTTTGGGACTTTCTGATTGTAAAAGGTACTTTTTATTATAAGCCCAGCGGAAAACACTTGAGTAATAGCAGTGCTATTTTATGTAAAAGGCAGAGTAAAAATACATATTTTAGGCAAAACCAAGTTCGGATCCTGCTACTTCAGATCTTAAGATGGGATTGTAGTTTTCCAAGAAGTAAAATAAGTTACCATTGACTGTACTATTGAAATCAGCTCTTCTCTGTTCTCCCTGTTCTGTGGTCAGATGAAGTGGTTGCTACTGTGGCATAGTTTGGGGGAGAGAGGAAAGGTGGTTATTTTCGCAAGCATGTAACTTAGCTCTTCTAAGGATACCGGCTCTTTACCAGCCTGAATACAAGATTGCCCATCAGTAACTGATCCAGCACTCTAGCAGGACCCATGAAGTTAATGATGTAAAATCTTGGGGTGAACACCTGTCTCCAAGTCAAAATTTCCAGTGCCTCTAACAGGGAGATAATTTCACTGGTAGAAGAAGTCTGGACTGCCTAATAGTGTGTAAAAATAATATTTACAGTTGGAAGCATAGGTCATCTGGTGTAGCAGTGACTCCTGGTTCCTAGTGAGCCAAGAGGTTGAATTAAGGGAGTATGGGTTGAGGGTCTGACCAAAGCCTTGTTATTCTTGCTGAAGGAGAATATCTCCTAGGGAGATATTCTCACTCAAGGAATGATGGGGAATGTGTTAGTTCCAGGAACTATTTAAAATACTCCTGGCAATAGACCTGCATTTAATTAAGCACTTACTTTATGCTGTCTTC